TGGCCTTTGTGAAGGCCCTACTTCTTGCTTCCACCCAGAATACTGATTTTGATTATTTCTCCAGCCTTGATTTTTATTATAATTTCCAGAGAAATTCCCTTGCCTTCCTGGATTGTTCATGTAATTAACTTCCTCCTCTTGATCTTGTTCAGAGATGGTGCAATGTCCATTCGGATGATCACCTGCACAAAAATCACATCTCATTACCTGCTGAGGACGTGAAGATGATCCTACTTGAAGTTTGGACATCTGTTTCTTCAACTCTTCCATCTACTGAGAAAGGAGTTTATTCTGAGCTAGAATTGCATTTTCAGTATCCAGTTCCAGAATTCCCCTTTTTGTGGGCTGGCTCCTATCATGGTGAGCTTGGTAATCATTGGCTGCCAAAGCATCAATAATAGTGATTGCTTCCTCAGAATCCTTCATTATCATAGAACCACCTGCAAAAACATCCAATAACATCTTTGTTTGCGGCCTTAACCCATTACAGAACATGTTAAGTTGTGCAACATTATCAAACCCATGATTTGGGCATTTCCTCAACAAAGATTTATATCTCTCCCAAGCTTCACATAAAGGTTCATCAGCACCTTGAGAGAATGTTGCAATTGCTGATTTAGCACTTATATATCTGGAAGGAGGAAAGAATCTTGCCAGAAACTTCCGCTCTACATTTTCCCATCTGGTCAAACTCTGATTTGGGTGGGCCTACAGCCATGTCTTGGCCTTACCTGTCAAAAAGAAAGGAAATAATCACAGATATACCGCTTCTTCATCTTCTCCAGGCACGCCCATAGAGCCAATAAGCTCATAGAAAGTAGACAGGTGTGTGTAGGGATCTTCATGGTCCATCCCTGCAAATTGATTGGCAGTAATGAGAGATAGAAATGTTGGTTTCATCTCCATCCCCTTTGTTGGTCTGGCTATACTGGAGAAGTGCCTAGGACCTAATTGATGAGTATATTCTCCTAGGAGTCTTCTTGGAGGATGCTGAGGTCTATCACCACCACCCGGTCCTTCTTCAGCCATTGATTTAGGAATAGGGTGTTGAGCTGAAATTGAGGTGGAAGTACCCTCCTGTTCCTGTCTCTCATGTTCAAGCTTCCTTTGTCGTCTTCTTTTGCTATTATTTTTCCTAGCTGTTTTCTTAATCTCTGGATCAAATAGCAATTGCTCAGCAGTTACCTCGCATACAAAGATTGACTTAAACAAAAAAGTTAGAACAACAGGTAAAGAATATATTTAACAAAACGAAGATAAAACAATATATACAACAAGCTACAACTAGAACAATAGAAATCACTAACTATCTTGACACAAGTCCCCGATAGCGGCGCCAAGAAACTTGTTGGATTTTTTATAGGCAAGCGCACCCAAGTCTCTGTAGTATAATTTAAAGGTTGTCGAACCTCAAGGACTTGTGTAATAAGATATGACTTCTATTATACTAAATGATGCTTATGAATGTAAAACTTGGATAATTACACATATTCAATTTTGATATGGATGATTGATCAAACTTCAGTAACCAAAAGGTAAACTAATTTGCGAAAAAACAGATATGAGAAACAGTTGGGATTAGACTTCATCAATCTCCCTCCTATGCATTCCTATTGATTCTTTCTAAAGATCCCATTACTCGTTGCCATTGAGCTCTCGAGATTCATTCAAATCCAATCCCTTGGCATAAGAAATTCTAAGATATTTAATTCAATGAATGATTCCTCACTTCATTCAATTAAATATCCTGCATTAAGAATCAGAACTTGTTGCAACTATTAATTTCAAGACCATCCCTGGCTCTCAAAACTAATAGGTGATTCGTTCCAAGTCTAGAGTTAGAAAACGTTTTCCAACCAAATTCTAAGCTCCAAATCAGAGATAAATGATCAGTTTATCAAAGCATTAAAAACAGAAACAAATCACTGACATAGATATATATGAATCAAAGAGGAATACAAAGGAGTTCGACGATTACATCAATCCCAACCCTAAAGCTTAGCTATCCATAGTACAAGAAATCACCCAATTACAAGAGGAAAGGTAGAAGAAGAAAGAAATCCTTCGAAGAGTCGCGTCCCCACGAGCTCCAAAGCGCTCTATTTCTCCCCTTTCTCTGTTTTCTCTTCGTACAGCTCAAGATGATACCCCTTTCTCTCTTCTCTGCCCTTATATATGTGATAAAATTAAAACAGAGTGAACAGGAAAGAGACGAATCCACTCAGCGCCTTGAAACGGCTGAGCGGTTTGAGGAATCCTTCACCATGAAGTAACCTAAAGGGCTGAGCCCCTTGGATCTACTGAGCGCCTTGAAGATCCTTCACTCCTAAGCAAAGCATAAGGGTTGGGCGCCTCAGATCCGCTGAGCGCCTTAGAGGCAGAGAGCATCCTATTTCCTAGCCCAAATCCGCTCAGCGGATGGTAGTGGCTAAGCGCGTTGGAGGCAGAGAGCAGTCCTTCTCTTCTAGGGCCTAATCCGCTGAGCGCCTTGGAGTGGCTGAGCGCCTCTCCTGTTCTGCATTTGTTGAGCTCTCTAGCTTGAATTCGCTCAGCGCTTTTGAGTGGCTGAGCCATTTTCCTTCAACTTTCAAAACCTACAAAATAAACACCATATTTGATCAAAAGCTTCATCACTCCTTGTACTAATATAAATCAAAAGTCCCTTTTTGATTCTAAGTATATATAGACCAAAATTATATCAATATGTACAAAAATTGTGCTAGATAAGTGTCTCAAATGCATATTTAATCATAATAATAAGACACTTATCATCATTCTTGCATATAAGAACAATATTAAATCAAAAAATGATCTTAAATCTCTTAGAATATAAGTTTTAATGTTAAAAAAGTTGAATGTTTTTGTAAAGAAATGTTTTTCAAATCATATAGAAAGATGAATTTAAAAAGATGATTGATTCTGTTGATCTCTATGACTCTAAAACAAAATAAAATAAAAACAGTTTCTCAACTAACTTCTTTTCTGTTAGTTGGCTATGATTCTGGTTTAATCTTGGGTTCCCTTGTATTCTGTATATATATTTTTTTCTTATCTTTTTCTATTGTATGTAATATAATACAAGTCAGATTGGTGAGTGGGAAAGTGATTAACAAGTAAGGGTGAAAGTTACAAGGTGTGGTAGAACAAGGTGAAGGTTCTTGTGGGACTTGTAACTTGTATTGCTTGAAGATCATAATGAATTTTGGTGTTGCTCTTCCCATGGATGTAAGCCTCAAGGTTGAACCACGTAAAGCTTGGTGTTCTTTCTTTTTCTCTCATCTTTAATTTTTGCATTTTATAAACATTCTTGCATCTATGTGCATATGTGTGCACCAGTATTTTGTGGTTCTTGTATGTTTTAATCTTCTTGTTAGGTGTTAGAAGCTAAAGGACCAACAGATTCGTATGACGTGTAGTCATTATGATGAACAACTTCGTTTGTCTAAGACAAATGTATTAAATATATGATTTTTTATGTCTGATAATCAAATCATCTTTGTCTATATAATTTCTTAACAAATTAATTGAAGGAACAAAAACTTTTTTGGTACTTGAACTTCAAAAAAGAACAAAGATTTGCTTTTCTTTAGAGAAAAGACAAATAGGTATCTTGAAGTATACAAGTCTTAGATAAGGTCTTTTCCAACTGACACACACAATAGTCTCTCCTATTTTGTACCTTAAAAGTGATAAGTAACCTTTTTAATCGCATAAGAAGTGACAATTTAGTGAATTGCATTTAATGTACACATTTACTACACCAATGGACACTTCACTATACAAGGAAAGAAGACGAAGAAAGATGAAAAAAGTCTATGAGAGAAACTCAATGATTTGTAACAGTAAACTTTATGAAGCACCTCTATAAAGAAGCTTGGAGATTTCTAAAGAAAAGAGCATAATAATTGTAAAAAAAAAATAAATAAAAAAAAGGTCATTTGATTCTTTATGTGTAAATATTGTACTTAAATTGGTTATATTTAGTACTAAGAAACATAACAAAGTATTACAGGTCAGACACTACTTGAGTTGTTATGCAGCATCATGGTCCTAACTATTTTGATGAGTGCACAATGACTACTGATCAAAAGAGTTCAAAGATTAACATTTTCTCTCAAGGAAAATGCCTTGAATACTTAGCTTAGGAGTCTAATTCTTTGAACCATTCATCAAAAAGTTTTAGTTAAAACTCAACTTCTCAGAAGACTAGTACTAAAGACTCTACTCAGAAGGTTTAAAGAGAAAGTTACCACTAGTGAAAAAAAGGCTTTTAAAATCGATTAATTTTAACTTTTAAAATCGGTTCTACAACCGATTTTAAAAGAGCCGATTTTATAAGGCTAGACTTTTAAAATCAGTTATCAATTGATCTTAAAAGTCTTAACTTTTAAGATCGATTTTGAATCAACCGATCCTAAAAGTGCACTTTTAAGATCGGTTACTTCATAATCGATCTTAAAAGTAGTGAATTTTTTTTTTAATGTTTGTCTTGTTTTGTGAGCGTCTCAGAACAAAACCTGCAAATGAATAAATACCAAGCAATTCACATGTTTTCAATTAACCAAAATATTTGCATTTTCTATGTTATTTCTTAATGAACCAAATTGCATACAAATAAGAAGAGATGATAAATGTCGACCATATATATAACTGAATAGTTTTAAATACATCTAATACATAAATGGACCCCACTACTCAATGAAACATAAGCCCAAACCAGTTAATGTATTGGTCAATAAAAAATGTGGCTCATTGCTCCCTAATGGTGTTTATGTCTTCTAGCAGCAATAGTGATCGATCTATAAATGTTTGTTAAGAAAAATTAGAAAAATTAGTAATAATTCATAAAATATATAGAATTAGAACTTAAAATAAAAACTTTCAAAATCGTAAAACTTACTTCAGTCCATCCAGATACTATTTGTGAAGCGACAATAGTATGCATTGTCTTCATTACATAATCTCCTCACTCATAATTTCCTTTTTGTTTGAGACTACAAAAATAATATAAAATCAATTTCAATAGAATAGTAATTCAAAAAAAATTACTTAAAAAAATCTCTTCACTAAATCTTTGTGGGCATTTAAATAAGGAAGAACATCATCGGTGTTGTTCAATATATACAAATGCGCTTGAAGTACTTCTTCTCGCATCATGCTTTTTATTTTTGTGCCTATTGTACCCTTCCCAGCACTTCGTCCCTCATGACCAGTCTTAGGAATGCCTATTGATTCAGCTTGAGACATGTATTCAGTACAAAACTCAATTGCATCCTCTACAATGTACCTTTCTATGATGGATGCTCCTGGACGATATTGGTTCTTCACATACCCTTTTAGTATCTTCATGTATCGCTCAATTGGGTACATCCACCTCAAAAAGACTGGACAACAAAACATAACCTCCATAACAAAGTGGATGATTAAGTGAACCATAATGTCCAAAAATGAAGGAGGAAAATACATCTCTAATTGACACAATATTAGAACAGCTTCATCTTCCAATTCATCCAACTTCTGAGGATCAATTACTTTGTTGCATATGCCATTGAAAAATAAGCAAAGCCTAGTTATGACTTGTCTCACATTTTTAGGTAAAACATTACGTATAACATAGGAAGATACTGTTGCATCAGTACATGACATTCGAGAGACTTCATGCCAACTAATTTCAAATCTTTCATTGATACTAGACTTTTTACATTAGAAGAGTAACTGTACAGCACTTTGACACCATGTAAACACTCACAAAAACTTGTTTTCTCCTTTTTTGACAATGTGTGACATGCTGGGGGAAAATATGTTCACTTACCCTTAGATTGTGGATATAATTGTTGTCGTATCCCCATGAGTTGCAAATCTAGACGAGATTTGAGTCCATCTTTTGTCTTGCCCTAAATATTGAGAAGTGTGCCAATTACACTGTCACATATACATTTTTCTCAACATGCATGACATCAATGCAATTTCTAACATCAAGAAGCTTCCAATTGGAAGATCAAATAATATCGACCTCTTCTTCCATATGTTTATATCTTTTGATTGTGTTTTTGTCTTTCCAAGTATCACATTTAAATTCTTCACTCATTCATAAACTTCCTCACCAGTTAAGGCAGTAGGAGCAATATCATATTCTTGACATCCATTAAAAGCTTTCTTTAACCTTCGATATGGATGGTTAGGTTTAAGAAACCTTTGATGACCTAGGTAAACTGTCTTCTTCCAATTATGCAATTGATGATAACAAGTCCCTTTTTCACATATAGGGCAAGCTTTATGCCCCTTAACGTTGTACTCGCACAAGTTTCCATATGCTGGAAAGTCATTGATTGTGCAGAACAACATGGCATGCAACTTAAATAATTCACTTGAATACCCGTCAAACACATCAATTCCTTCCTCCCACAACATCTTTAAGTCTTTGACCAATGGACTTATATAAACATCAATGTCATTTCCTGGTTGCCTTGGACCAGAAATCATCATAGATAACATCACATATTTGCGTTTCATGCATAACCATGGAGGTAAGTTGTAAATTACCAACAAAACAGGCCATGAATTATGCTTTGTGCTTAAATTACCAAACGGATTCATTCCATCTATAGCTAGTCCAAGCCTAACATTTCTTGCCTCCTTACCAAAATTTGGAAACATAGAATTAATTTTTTTCCATTGCAAGAAATCTGTCGGATGCCTAAGTTGTCCATCACATTTCCTCTCATCTTCATGTCATCTCATCAACTTTGCATCATTTGCATTAGCAAACAAACGCTTCAATCTTGGAACAATTGGCAAATACCATAGAACCTTCGTCGGAGGACCCTTAGTGCTAACATCATAATCAAAATTACTTTGCTTCTTTTTATATCGTGACAACCCATACCTTGGACATTGATGCAACCCTTCAAACTCACCATGATATAGCATACAATCATTTGGGCATGCATGTATCTTCTTATACTCTAAACCCATGGGACACAACACTTTTTTTGCCTCGTAGTTACGACTAGGCAATGTGTTACCTTCTGGAAGCATTTCTTTCAACAGCTCTAACAATTCTGTGAAACTTTTATCACTCCACCCATGTCTCGCCTTCAAATTAAACAATCTCAATACCGCTGACAATCTTGTGAATTTTGTGTAGTTTGGATATAACGTCTTCTCTGAATCCCTACATAAAATTTCATACATATGTGCTCTTTGGAATGATTCTGGACCAACATCACGAATCATCTCCTCAAGCCGATCATCCATATCTACCTCTTGTGTAAAAGTTTGATTTTGAGTTTTAGCCGACACATTTGGAATATCAATATTTTCACCATGCCATATCCAACGTGTATAAATCTTAAGAAACCCATCACATAAAAGATGTTCCCTTATAACATCAAGTTCTAAACAACTCTCATTACAACAATTAACACAAGGATAGAGAAAATTTCCATTCATATCATCATTACCATTCCGTATTACATATTCAATAAAATATTACACTCCAATCTCATATTGCTCACTTATGCGTGGCGCACGTATCCAACTTCGATTCAATAACCAACTTTGATCCATCACTTATGTTCTCTATCAAAAAGATAGACCATGCATGTCAATCTCACTATTTTATACAATTCAAAATTAAATATTAATGATTAAATAAATTTAATCATTTGCATTGAATCTTAAACGAGAAACTAAGGTTCACTTAATATGTGCGTAAACTAAATATATAACAGACAAGAATTATAGAGAGAAAAAAAGTGTGTGCGTTTGAAAGCTTCAAATAATAAATTAAGTATATTTATAAAATAAAAAAATGTTAATTACGTTAAACTCACATTTTTCTAAATACACGCTAAACTATAATTCCTAAAGGAAACTTCAATCATATTACTTACTCCTTAAATAATAAAATCATATTTAAAACATTTTACAGATATTTTGTCCATTGAATTTATCCTTAAATTTATATTTTATTAACCAAAACTTAAGTTTAAAATATTTTATGTAAGAATTCATTTGTCCAAGACTATTTAGGAATCCATTAAAATCAAGTCAGAGTCCATTGGTTTAAACTTAAGATTTTACACTTGGAGGACTCTACCTTGAAGGTTGGAAAACTTTCTGTCGAGCAGAGGAAGGAAAAGATTCACAGATACATGAAGAAGAGAAATGAAAGAAATTTTAGCAACAAAATCAAGGTACTATATCTGTGTACCAACATTAACGAAATTTGAAATCTTAAATTATTTTATACATGGATTCTAATATATTTCATATCAACCAATTCTTTTACTTATTTTCAAAATTCAACTAATGGTGAAAAAAAAATAAAAAAAAAAATATTTGCAGTATGCTTGCCGCAAAACTTTGGCAGATAGTAGGCCCCGAGTAAGAGGAAGGTTTGCAAAGAATGATGACTTTGGAGAGAGCCATAGACAAGGAAGTAGCAATCTTGAAGAAAATGATGAAGAAGTAAGATTCACTTAATTGTTCAACTTGCCTAAGTCTAAAATAAAAAAGTAAAATAACATAAAAAATTCCCTATCACTTTTACCTTTTCAATAATTTGATGGCATAATTCCTTAATGCTATATTCCTTCCATATCAGTGGCAGGGCTCATTCAGTGGGGTGAACTCATTCAAATGCAACTATTCCATCCAGTCCTTGATTTGAGTTAATTAATTAATAGTTTGACTAGAGGATTATCTATATTTAGCTTCTGTAGATTAATTTTGTCAGGGCTCTTTATATGGTTTGAGGAAACTGAATAATGGGGGTCCAAGTATTATACCAATAAATGAACTAAGTTAGGAACATACATATATTAGAATCTGTATACATTTTTGCAGATATATTATCTTTTTCATTGACTAATTGGTGCACCTTCTTTTATATGAAAGACATTCCATGTTTTTTCTTACGCACACACATTAGGGAAAATAGTGAGAGCTTATCAAGGGATTAGAACATTGAGGCAGATTTATTATCTCTATGTTGGTGCAGCTGCTGCAACTGTGATCGGTGATTTTGGTGCAACAGTTCATTTTGCAGCTGCGGTCTGTGATGTGGGTGCAGCAGCTGATTCAGCTGTGGTATGTAATTTTAATTTAGCTAATCAAGACACCACCGACGTGCACACAAGTTAAATTAAAAATCTTTATAAGATCAATCTATTGGCAAGCAAACTTTCATGCTTAGTAATCCAAAATCAACAAACTTGACAACTCCAGCAGAGTAAGCAAGCAAGTTAGCTCCTTTGATGTCTTTATATGCACATACATGAAAAAAAATATACAAATAAAGACATGACTTAAACATTCAAATTTAAAATGAATTAAAAATTCTAAAAAAAAGTAAAGAACACAAGTCCCATCTGCTAGAGAAGAACACATGCAGAACAATGCAAATCATCCACAGAAACTAACGAAAGAAAATTGAAAAACATAAATTTTGATTAAGGAAAGTATAGAAAAATTGTAGTTAACTCTTTTGCCACACAGAATTCGGAATAAGGTAATTAAAATAAACATATGCAATTACAAACACCCAAAGAACTTAAAAGTAATAATATCATGTAAAGGTAGAACCCTTTCATCTTGTTTACTTCAATGATGTTGATTGAATTTGTATTGTATTTTGAATTATAGATACTCAAATGTCAATTCATTTTAGGGTACTGATATTTTGGTATATGCTAGAACTGCTAAAAATTATTTCACAGCTTAAAGTTAATTGAATTTGTTAAGCAGTTACGAGTTTTTAGAGACAACTATTTATTGAGAATAGTTGTTATCTATAATATTGTAGACGTGGACAATTGGCCAAAACAAGATAATTATTTTGTCAATTATATCTTTACCTACACCTAGTTTTTGATTACCCCATTTATCATGAATTTAAAGTGAGATAAAATGAAAAATAATAAATGATAGAAAAACTAATTAACAAGATAAATAGAAAGTATAATAATAATCATATAGCAATGATAACTTAAAAATGCCAACAAGATTCACAAATTAATTTTATCACAAGTATAGATAAAATACCTGTTGGACGAAACGCCAAAATTGCTGTGAATTGTTCCTTGTAGGTCTTCAAGTAATCCTTTAAGGTCTAGTTTAACAAGTAAAAACATGAATTATAATATAACACGACAAAATTTTAAGAGGAAAAAGAGGTGAGATTAAAATGTAATGGCACAAAATTAAACATCAAATCTCAAAGATGACATGGGCAGAACATGGAGAAGTGTGTTATTTGCCTTCGTATAAAGACTATCTGAAAGTTCAGGCCAACCAAAAGCTAGCAAAATCCGCCTCCTTGAAGCTAAACCATAAAGGCAGCATAGATTGAGCAACCTCTCTACGAACCCAAACGGAGAGCTACCTCTTTGCAAACCTGAACGAAGAGCAGCCCTTGCAAACCCGTGACGTTGGACGTACCTCATTTGGATCCTCAAATGGTCACAAATAACGCTCCCTACGACCCTTCTATCTCTCCCTTATCCAAATCCCCATGGTCCTCTCACATCAACGAAGACGCTTTCATCTCCAACGAAAACGAAGCTCTAGTGAGGTCCCTAGTCCGCGAAGAGGGTCACATATACTCCCTCGCCGCAACCAAGTAAAAACATTCGCGTGTGGAACCATCAGAAGGAGTTTGCATGGTTTTAGTGAAAGCCATCGTGAATGGGTAGAAACCCTAAGCACGAATGAAGGAAAGGGCAACAACAAGCTTAAAAATAGGAACATAGAAACGAACGAACGAACGAACCTGAACCCGAACGGACAGTTGCCTCTTTGCGAACCTGGACGAAAGAAGCAGATAGTGGAGGCCGAAATTGTAGAATCATAAAAGGGAACAGAAAGGGAAATTGATTATCATACCTTAGTTATACGATATTTAAGATCGGTTAACTAGGACCCGATGTTAAAACACTTTTTAAAATCGGTTATATTTGAACCGATTTTAAAATTTGAGATGATAATTACAAAAATACTATCGCATCACTTTTAAAATCAGTTTAAATATAATCGATTTTAAAACTGCGATTTTAAAACTTATTTTTGCACTAGTGTACTCAAAAGGTAAAAAATTTTGAAGGAATTGTTGACAACACTAAAAAAGTAAAGTACAAGTTGATCTCGGCATTGCTTAAAAACTAAGATTGCCTCAATAGACATTTTGAAGGCTACAAAAGGATGACCAAGGCTTCATTTTAAAAGCAAGCAAGATCCAAGAGATGAATCAAAACAAAGTTGTGAAAGTTGTGATTCTTGCTTCATACTCTATTTTTATAAAGAACTCCACTTCTACATTTGAATCAATCTTGTAATAGAGAAAAGGAAATATTAGTCATCCTTAGTGGAAGCTCTAGCTAGGATAAATTGTTGTAACCATAGCTAAGTGTTAGGATACACAAACCCATTCTTTGTAAAAGTCTTTCCTACCTAGATATGAGTTGCAAAGGTGTAGGAAGGAAGGAAAAAAAGTTAACCAGGTGGTTGTAAGATATCATAGCAAGTGGCTATGAGGTTGGCCGGGTGTTTCAACAGGTTATTGAGGGAGAAATCTTAGCAGGTGGCTGAGTGGAAATCACTAACAATGGGTGGTTATATAGTGAGGAATTTGTATCAGTAGGTTGCTAAAGTTGCAAGTTGAACACTAGTGGTTATGTTAAGGGGGTGTATTGGTTTAGGATTTCATAGGATTTTAAAAGACTTTTTTTGAGTAAGAAAGTCCTTTAGTATTCAATCAGGATTTTATGTCACTTAAAAATAATCTGGTGGTATTCAATCTGGATTTTCAAGATTTTTTAAAAAGTCTATTAAAATATATTGGTATTCATTTGAGATTTTTTACAACTTAAAAACAATCTATTGGTATTCAAAAATATAAGGATTTTTAAAGGATTGTTATGTTAAAGGGATTTTGAAGGACTTTCTAGTACTATCTATAAATACCAAATTCAAAAAATAATCTCATCCAAACCCATCAGATTTTGGAGGACTGTTTGAAGTGACTTTTCAAGTACTTCAAGAATTTTCAAGTGAATTTTTCATCTTTTTTTTTCTATACTTTTGTCTTCTCCATTTTTTCTCTAATGATAATACTGCACTATTGTTCATTGCTCATATATAATATTGTAGTATTGTTCCCATTCCATTCTCCTATTTTGTGAAAATCCGATATGTAAGTGACAATGTCATTAACTTGCTCTATTTTTCTCTTCGTTCTCTTTAATTGACTTTCTCTATTTTATTCTATTTAGTTTAATTTTTTTCTTTTATATAACACAAGAAAACGCTTGAAATTTTAACTTTTAAGTGGTAATTTTTTTATAACACATGTCAAGAAAAGGGAAAAGTGAAAGATAAAATTGATATCATGATCTCTACAATATATATATATATATATATAAAAGATGAATTTGAGTTTAGGGTTTCTGTGAGTAGAATGAAATAAAAATGGATCTTAGTTGAGAGAAAAACTCTCTCAGTATAAAAATTGCGATCTCTCTCCTTCCCTTGAGTTTGTTACTCATATCCCTCCTCCTTTTATGACTCAACAATTATTTTTGTTTTTTTTACTATGAATTTTTTTAATTTTTATATTGTAAAATTAGGGTTTTTTTATATTTAAAAAAAATTAACATAAGACATTGCAGTATCTAATTTTTTAGGATTTAGGATTTATGTCTTCATTAACTTATTTTAAAAAAAGCAAATATTGTTAAAATATTTGTTAGAATAATTTACATTTATAAACATTGTTAAAAAATTATCATATAATATATAACTAAAATACTAATATATATACATATATATATATAAATATTTTCTCAGTATCGAATATACGGAATTTTTATATAAAAAAATTATCTTATGTTTCTATATTTCCATTTTTACATGTTTTTTATAATGGCCAAGGTATTTGATCATTCATCTTCAACATTACTTGTTAATGAAGATTATACTTTTGAGCTTATTATTTAAACTTAGGAACAAGAGCGAGAAGACGTTAATGCTTGGAAGACTAGTATAGCTATGTATATGTGGGTGAATGTTATTTAAGAGGATATGATATTATGAAGAATTATTATTATTATTATTATTTATCTAGACATTGTTATTTTTTTTATTATTTTTGTCTTTTGACTCTTTTTAAATTTGAATGTATGAAATTTTTTTGAAATCTTATCATATGTTAAAAATCCATGAAAATTTTACAAAATCCACAATGTCCCATAAAATCCATTAAAATCCTGATTTAAAAATCTTGCAGAATCAATTAAAATCCTGATTTAAAGTCTTGGAGAATCCTACAAAGTCTTAAAAGTCATGAAAATCTTGCAAAGTCTTTTAAAATCTGCAAGATTTTTTTTAACTAAAAAAGTCCTTTAAAATCCTAATCCAATACACTCCCCTTAGTGAAAAATCTCACAAGGTTGTGTGAGGATTGCAAGTAGCCCAATTTGGGGTAAACTAATATAAAAATTAAATGTGCAATCTCTCTAACTTTATCTCCTTATTTGTTGCATTTACTTTATTGTCTTATATATTATTGCATAATTTGTTACCAAAACTAAACTGATCAAAAGGTAGTTTTATAAGGAAACTAAGTTTTTGAACACTTAAAGCTTTTAAAGGACAAATTTTTTAAAAAGAATATATTTTTAAAGAATACAATAATTCAACCTTCCCCTTCTTATTGCCTATTATTCACTTCAATACCTTAATAACTAAACTCAATATGACCCTGGTGTAGCATGCACCTTCATGCTCAAACCAAATTTATTTGATAAGCTTCATGGTTTGGTCTTCTAGATGATGTTGACCATACAGATCAAGGGGTTTCACCTCCAACAATTCCTAAGTACAAGGATAGAAAATAATCATCTACCCATCTTTATGACACAAATTCAAGTACCCCTTGAAGTTAAAGTAAACCAATCTCCAAGAAGGATCGCTTATGAGAACGAAGTTAGGGTTATCCTCTTCATCTGTGAGCTTTTCCATCAACAACTCCAAATCATCAAAAGGAAAATGTAATGTTTCTTGGGCCTCACTAGGCATAATCATCCATGCATAATCTTTAGGGCATCTTGGGTTTGACTCCACAAGTTTTGTAGCCACATTTAGTGGTTCAACATCAATTGTGCCACTATCAATAGAAGATGGTGCAACTTCATTTGTTATTCCAACTGATGTTCCAACAGTCTCTTCAACATTTTGTAAGACCACTACAAAACCTACAACTTCAAAAGATTGTTCCAGAGAGGGAACAATAGTTTCAACAAGTAGTGCAAACTATAATGGGGGGACTTTTGGACTCAAGGGAAGGTTGAAAGGACTTCAACAATGACTTCATCGATGACAAACGTACTAGTTTGTGTTGGTCTCAAGGTAGGAAGGAGAGGAGAGGTAGGATGCATGCCTACAAAAGCCTTTATAGTGATAAGGTATTGAGCTTCCTTTACTGTTCACAAATGGTTCATGTTGTACATCACCCTGGATAATGCCTTGGGCATAAAAAAAGTTTTATGGCATTCCACAAGGCAAGGGTCTACTCTAGCTCCAATTTTATTTGCTTTTTAGCAACTTCAACAATAGATGCTTGAAATGTTTCCTATAAAGTCTCTCCTCCTCAACAACCAACTTAGTTATTTTTTATTGCATCTATTTTTCCTCTTTCAGTGAAAGACATTGTGCTCATTTTAAAATGAACTCCTCCTGAATTTTTGTCTTAGGCATAGGGAGCCCATGCACCAAATGTCATCTTTTCTATTGTTAAAAGGTTAGGGAGCTTTTGCTATTGGTTCTGGTGGGTGAAAAGGAGCGGCTTGTGGTCATCAAAGATGGAAGGAAAGAAGCTTATCGTCAAAGTTTGGTGATGAGTCATAGATAGTGATAAAGAGTACTATTTGGTGAAACGAGGTGGCTTTTGTTTTTTGTGGTGGTGGTGTTGATCAAACTCAAGATGAAGACAGTCTTAGTTGGTTTTGATGATTAGAAATAAGTCTCTTGAAAGATAAGAGTGCAACTTCTAGTGTTGTTTTGTGTTTTGAGTCTCTCACTACTACAAATATACTATTTTACATCACCATTTTTACATCGGTTAAGCAAGAATTGCCATTAGCTTGACACTCCATTAAGTCATGGATCATTGAGGTGAACAACAGTGGTAAGTTTCTCAACCTCACCACCCAAGTATGGCTTAACTCTCTGACCATTTACCATCCAAGATCTCCCAGAATTTGGCTCTTCCAACTCCACTGCCCCATATGGCTTAACTGATTTAATCACAAATGGGCCTGACCATTTGGACTTGAGCTTTCCAGGGAATAGTCTCAACCTGGAATTAAACAGCAACACCTGTTGGCCTGGTTGGAAGTTTCTCTGGACAATCATCCTATCATGGTAAGACTTCACCTTGCTCTTATAGATCTGGGAAGATTCATAGGCCTGTAACCGCATTTCTTCAAGCTCGTGTAGCTGAAGCTTTCTCTTTTCACTTGCAGCTTTCAAATCAAAGTTTAATGCTTTCAAAGCCCAATAGGCCTTATGCTCCAACTCAACTGGGAGATGACAGGCCTTCCCATATACAAGCTGAAACGGAGAGAGTCCAATTGGAGTCTTGTACGCTATCCTGTAACCCACAGTGTATCATCCAATTTCAAAGCCCAATCTTTCCTTGAGCTGGCTACAGTCTTTTCTAGAATTTTCTTCAACTCCCTATTGGAGACCTCTGCCTGTCCATTTGTTTGAGGATGCTAAGGTGTAGCTACCTTGTGTCTCACACCATAATGCTCTAACACCTTCTTCAGCTGTGTATTGCAGAAATGAGAACCACCATTGCTAATGAGCACTCATG